TGGGGAATCAAAACAGAAACAGACTAATATGAAACAGCTGACAGAAGATAATAATTTTTAAATTTAATTTAAAAATTATTTCGTTTAGACTCATATGTATAGAATTATGTTGTTAATCTATAAGAAATAGTTTTAAATAAAATATGGGTATCCATTCAATTAATAAAAAAGGCAGTAGAGAGATAAAACTAGCCCTCATAATACAGTTCATATAAATATATACTATTAAATATTTCATTCATGAATTCATTCATGTTAGTAGCATGTCAATGAGCATTTTATAAATATATTAATGGTTTTATCAGAATAAAAAGGTCGCTGATTCTCAACTTTTTCAGTTTTACAATTATGTCCAGAGCCAATGCTTAACATTTTCTTTAAAAGTCAAATAAAGGTCAGCTGGTAATAATGTTTATGAAGTATGTTTCCCTAATACAATTTTGTAAAACGAAAATTAATTAAGTATTTATGGAGAGCCTGCTTTGAACCCAACACTACACATTTATTTGAGTGACGGTAGACTAGATTGAATTTCACTGTAATCTAATAGTTATCCAATTTTTTACCACAGTGTAAGAAGCCTTTTCATTTTAAATAATTTTTTACAGCTAATAACTGTCAAGAAACACACAAACATTAATTTAAATCTGAAACAACACAAGAGTTAGTGAAAACCTATTCCCAGACTACTGTATTTCTAGTGTTTGTCCATGGTTTCTATTCAAACAGTCTAAGGTTCCTATTACTCAGAAACCTTCCCAGATTTATTTTTAATTTAAAGAAACATTTATCTATTTCCTTACTATTATATTTCTGTAAGGAAAATAAGGAAGACACAGAGGAAGAAAAAGAGGAGAGGCAAAACGTTTTCTGTAATGTTTGGGGGTTCACCGATTCTGAAGCACCTCCATTTGATCTTATCCCCCTCATGGAAAAAATCCATTCCTCAGACCTCTTTTAGGATGATTAGTACCAAATTCTTCGATGGCCCATTTGATTCCTTTAGGCTATGATGTTTTCCAACCAAGAGAGGATTCATCCTTCCTACAGGAACTGCTCCACAGGTCAGTCTCAGAGAGGCCTCAGGCAGATCCTCTGCTTTATATCGGAAAGATAAATTAAGTCTTCCCCTCCCTGCTTGTCCCTTTAATCATTTAACAGATTTTCAAAACTCTAATCTTTCTTTCACTAAATTTCTCTCTTTCTCAAACTTACCTAACCAGAAACTCTGAGTTTATCATGAAAACTTTCAACAATGCTTATTTTGTTTGGTATATGTCATATAAAATACACACTACAAAAGTTTGTATGTCAAGTCTATCTCTATATACTAATACTAGAGGCCCGGTGCACGAATTCGGCCCAATCCCTCGTCCTGGTCTGCGGGACTGGGCCGAAACTGACTCTCCAACATCCCCCGAGAGGTCCTGGATTGTGAGAGGGCAGAGGCCAGGCCGAGGGACCCCACTTGTGCACAATTGGGGCCAGAGAGGGATGCGAGAGGTTGGCCAGCCAGGGAGGGCGGCAGGAGGGCTCCAGAGCATGTCTGGCCCGTCTCGCTTAGTCCCAATCGGCCAGACCCCAGCAGCAAGCTAACCTACCGGTCAGAGCGTCTGCCCCCTGGTGGTCAGTGCACGTCATAGTGAGCGGTTGAGAGGCCTTAGCATATCATTAGCATATTACGTTTTGATTGGTTGAGCGGCCAACTGGACGACCGGACACTTAGCATATTAGGCTTTTATTATATAGGATATAAAAGCCTAAGTGACCATTTGACCGTTAGACCAGTTGCTATGACACGCACTGACCCCCAGGGGGCACCTCTGGTGGCCAGCCAATCTCCCCTGGTCCCTTTTTCCAGCTGGCCAACCTCCTGCGGTCTCTCCCCCCATCCCTCCCCCTGGTCAGCAGGCGCCGATCGGCCCAGACCCGATTGGCCCGGCCCCAATTAAGCCTGGGCAAGAGGGCTCCAATTGGCCCTGATCACCAGCCAGGCCTAGGGACCCCACCCGTGCACGAATTCGTGCACCAGGCCTCTAGTGTTTATATATTCATAAGGGTTAGCCAGAGAAACACTATAGTTCTGTTTCTGTGACTTACCCTGATGAATACAGTTGGTGACAAATCCAGCTCCACTAGCCCTTGGAGAGACTTGGTAGGGATGACACCAGGAGAGGGAAATATCCTATCTTATTTTGCTCCCTCAGGCCTCCCTGTTGACTAAATGCAACCAAAAGCCAGAAAGGAGAAGGAGCCTGTTGCTATACAAGGTGTCCCAAAGAAATGTATACACACTTTGAATGATTATAAAGTCAGTGTTTATTAACTTAAAGTTCATTTTCAAAATTTAAAAGAATCTACAAAAATGAATAATTTTTTTTGTCAATGCCTGTTTTCAAACTGATGACCGCTCTGGTCCAGGCACTGCTGATAACACAAAGCAATGGAATTGCAAACATCAAGAATCATTTCATTTGGTATTTGTGCACCCTCAATTTGTCAATTGTTGCCCATTTTGTATCATAAACTTCATCTTTTATGTATCCCCATATAAGAGTCTTTTGGATAAATTTTCTTTGGTCAAAGCTAAGCCTGGCTTCACACATTACTTCAAATCATTTAAACCTGAAAAGGAATGAAAATTAATATGACACGCACTGACCACCAGGGGGCAGATGCTCAACACAGGAGCTGCCCCCTGGTGGTCAGTGAGCTCCCACAGCCAACCTCCGGCGGCCAGCTAACCTCCCCTGGTCCCTCCCGTCAGCCAGTCCCTCCCCCTGGTCCCTTTTTTCGGCTGGCCAACTTCCTGCAGTCCCTCCCCCCATCCCTCCCCCTGGTCAGCAGGCCCCGATTGGCCCAGCTCTGATTGGCCCAGCCCCAATTAGGACTGGGCAAGACAGCTCCAATTGGCCCTGATCACCAGCCAGGCCTAGGGACCCACCCGTGCACGAATTCGTGCACCAGGCCTCTAGTGTTTATATATTCATAAGGGTTAGCCAGAGAAACACTATAGTTCTGTTTCTGTGACTTACCCTGATGAATACAGTTGGTGACAAATCCAGCTCCACTAGCCCTTGGAGAGACTTGGTAGGGATGACACCAGGAGAGGGAAATATCCTATCTTATTTTGCTCCCTCAGGCCTCCCTGTTGACTAAATGCAACCAAAAGCCAGAAAGGAGAAGGAGCCTGTTGCTGTACAAGGTGTCCCAAGAAATGTATACACACTTTGAATGATTATAAAGTCAGTGTTTATTAACTTAAAGTTCATTTTCAAAATTTAAAAGAATCTACAGAAATGAATAATTTTTTTGTCAATGCCTGTTTTCAAACTGATGACCGCTCTGGTCCAGGCACTGCTGATAACACAAAGCAATGGAGGAATTGCAATCAAGAATCATTTCATTTGGTATTTGTGCACCCTCAATTTGTCAATTGTTGCGGGTTTTGTACTGTAAACTTTATCTTTTATTTATCCCCATTAAAAAAAAGTCTAGTAGCACTTCAGGATAAGTTTTCTTTGTTCAAAGCTTAGTCTGGCTTCACCTATTGTTTCAAATCAGTTAAACCTGAAAAGGAGTGAAAATTGAGTTAAAGTATGTATATATTTTTGGGGACACCCTATGGTTCATGCAGCCGAGCTTCCCAGTATACTGGGCAGGGTGGAGAAAAGAGTGGGCCTGGATGGGCAAAGAAAGAGTTCAACTCATAAAGAAAAGCTGTGTAATTATTATCATAAAATTCGGAATGGTGGTCACCTCCAGAAGGGTGAGAAGATAACGATCCAAAAGGGACACATGGGGGGGGGGGTAACTTCTTAATCGGAATGGTGGTTAAATGGGTGTTTGTTTTATAATTATTCATTAAACTATACATTTAGGTTTTGTACTTTTTGTACATGTCATAATTTAAAAGTTTAAAGAAAAAACAATGCTGAACATTACGAACTTGTATATTTGAATTCTAAAAGTCATAATAAATTTTCAGATGAGCACGGCTGCAGCACTTAAAACAAGTCTGTTTAAAACAAGAAAATTTGTTACAGAGAAGCATACAAGTCCTGACAAGTGAAAGAATTAAATAACTCATAACTAAAAGATCTTTTATTTTAAAAAAAGTTTGCTTCAAACCAGGTGGGGAAGAAAGAATAGTAGCCAGAGTCTTGGACATGTTAAATGCTGGTAGTCAAAACAGTAGAGAGGCCACTGCTGAAGACACAGGAGAAGGAAAGGGAAATAGATGGCGTGCAGTCCCTCCAATGTCAAAAGGGATACACAGAGCACTGCCAGAGGAATTCGTCAGAGGGACAAGATGAGGAACATTTATCGCACTGTGGCCGAAGGAAAGGAAAGCATGCATATAGCTGCATATACATTTGTGGGCTTAGTAATGGGAAACAGGGGAGTTCCTTATTTGATGCTTCCTTTTTCTGTGACAGAAAACGTGAGGAAGGAGATGTCAAAGTCGGAGATGGGGAACAGTGAGAAGACGTATGCCACTCTGACATCATGGAGGACCATAGACATATTGGGGTAGAGAGAAAAACAGTGAACAGTTATGGGGGACCATACAGGGGTTGACGGTGAAGTTGCTAACTGACAGCAACGGAAGAGAAAGGGGGCAGTATAGTCTCTCTTGGATCTCAGGACAGAAGTTTTCAGGAGGATGGAGTGATGGTCTGGCTCTCATCCTTCACTCCAATTGGAAGTAGAAGATGAAGTAGAAAGTTTGGGCAGGAAGCAAAGCATGGGCTAACCTAGAGGACCAGGATAAGGTAGAGCTGGGCCTGTAGAGAATACCAGGAAATGGGACATGTTGGGTTAAGCCAGCTATAAGGTTTTAAAGAAGAATTTGGCCTAGAAATGTCCTGATATCGTGGGTAGTACTGTAGCCTCAATGCCCAGGTTGGCTCTGGAAGACTCCAAGGTTTAGATCACTCCCTGATAGGAGAATCTAGTGGTAAAGAACACATGCTCATTATACACAACTGTTTGCATACCTGTTCATCAGGTCATCAGATTCCTCTGAAGCTCTGGGTTAAGGCCATATTTAGAAGGTGGCTTTGTGTAGAATGTGCCTATTGGGTGATCTTCATGGCTAATTCCATCAGGCAGGTAGGTATTAGTCTCTCCTAAAAGGCTGGACCTGCCAATCAGAAGAGCAAACTTGAAAAAGTCTATCAAAGCATAAATGGACTTAATGTAGTTTCCTTTGGAAAATAATGTCTCTATGACAACTCAGTGTTCCCATAATTCTAATTAAAGTGTTTATTATGCAAAAACATCCTTGGGATCAAAATGACCTGTACCTTAGGTGCTTACTAAATGTTTGCTGAACTGGAAAGATAATAATGGGCTTCCCATGTAGGCTTTCCTACAGAGAAAGGAAAATGTAGGCCACATATCAAATGTTTCTAGGCCCTTTGATAGTTCCCTTTCTCAATATAAATGAGCAAATTAGTATTCTAGTTTACACACTGGCCTCTTGTGCATTGGGTTAGCACAAGCTTTGTCCCTTGAGTAAGATCAACTCTGGGCACCCTGACAAAATAAAGTTTCTGGACTTGCAAAAGCAAGGAATGAGCCCTGGAAAATGTGACTTGAGTGAGGCAATGATACCCTGAGGCCTGCCTGAGCAGCCCAGCTGGCCTCTGCCTATGACATTTCTAGCTTGGTTGGTTAGAACAGTGACTCTATTTAAATCAATCTGACCTCCTGCAATAAAAATCTTTGAGACCATGATGAAGTTGTTACCAAAACATTGTTGTAATCATAGTTAATGCAAGAGGGCTGAGTAATTTCTTAGACATCACAGTGAATTAATAAAACACACTGTCTGAAAATGCCTCCTAATTCTCGAGTCTAGCATGGGAGTTAATAATAGTGTACATGTGTGACTGTTCATGGGTAGCAACCTAGAAACAGACTGCTCTATTTTAAGGCTACAGGCTAGTGAGTTCTAACCTGCTTGTAGCAAAACACAACAAAGCGCTGTGAATTCTGCTTTTTGGTCTGTTTTGTTTCGTTTGTATTCTATTACTTCTTGTGTTATGCCAGGGTTGCACATTTCTGAGTGTCTCATTCTTTTTGTTTATAGAAATCATAGACTCTTCCCCCCCTTCTGAAGAGTAGACATAATGATCCGTAAAAACAGAATTTTTTTCCCAACTCGACAAACATTCCAATAACAATTACTGATTATTCTTTTGTTTCTGTTCACCTACAAGAAGATAGTTTATAACTAGCCAGATCTACAAAGTGTCATTTCTTGCCAGATTTCACTAGAAGAGTTTTCTCCTCCATCAAATTTCTTAAATTCTCTTTAAGATTTGCCAATTTCCATAGTAGTAAACCAAGGTATGTGAAAGAGAAGTCACAGTATAAACAAGGCCCATCATTTAATTTTACCTGTTGTCAAACAATTTAATTCTTTTTAAAAATATATATTTTATTGATTTTTTACAGAGAGGAAGGGAGAGGGATAGAGAGTTAGAAACATCCATGAGAGAGAAACATTGATCAGCCGCCTCCTGCACACCTCCTACTGGGGATGTGCCCGCAATCAGGTACATGACCTTGACCGGAATCGAACCTGGGACCATTCAGTCCGCAGGCCGACGCTCTATCCACTGAGCCAAACTGGTCAGGGCAAGCAATTTAATTCTTATTTTTATACTAAGTCAACAAGGATATACTGTGGCTTAAAGGTAAAACTTGGGAAGACTTAAACAAAAAGTCCAAAGTGTTCAGTGGGCAGCTTATGCCACCCCTAGGGGACGGGGGGTTAGGGATGCAATGTTGGGGGCTTTGCTCAAGTGCCTTTCTTTTGGGGCTATTTCAGAGGAGAGTTTGGGCAGCTCTGCTTGCTGCTGAGATTAGTCCAGAAGCATCTTTGCTTTGTTTTCCCTTCTTGTCACCTCACTGAGAAAGCTATGAATGCCTTTTAGTGTGGACTGAATTGCCCTTGTCCTAACACTGGAAGGAACCCGTAACACTAGAACATCTTGAGAAGCTCATGGAACAAGCCCCTTGGTTAGCAGAAACTATCAGCCATGTAGGAGAGGGGCAGTCATTGGCTGAGAAAGGGGTTTGGATCTCACTATACTACTAGTATGGAAAGAAACTGATAGTATAGCTGAAGAGATGATAATAATTACAGAAGCCCAGGTGTTTTCATTTAAAAGCGAGAGGAGAGAATATCAGTCAAAAATGATACTCAAGTCCCAGATTAAAAACAGAATGGATTCTAAAGAGGAGCATGGAGATCAGTGTCAGTAGGAATGTGACCAAGGAGACCTCTGGAGAAAGTGAGAAGCAGGGAACAAGAGAAAAAAATGCCCTTCAGATAAGCCAAAATATTTAAATGCTTCAGCTGGGTGATTTGTTAGAATGCCAAAAGTACTGTTCAACCAAGAAACTAACCTGCAAACTTCATATTTAATGGTATCAGTTGGGCTTTTCTCAGGAGGGGGTGGGGGTGGGGAGTGAAGACCTATAAGAAAATTTCAATTGCTATTCACTGTAAAATAGAGTTTTAAACTGCAGTCAGGATTATAGACTCAGAAGTATAAAGTAAAAAGCAAGTCGAGAAAAATAAGGATCAGAAGTATTGTGTGAGGGCAGAAGTCAGGTTAAGTGGCTTATGTCAGCTGCTGAATGAAAAAGAAGAAAGAACATTGCCCTGACTGGTTTGGCTCAGTGGATAGAGCGTCGGCCTGCGGACTGAAGGGTCCCGGGTTTGATTCCGGTCAAGGGCATGTAGCTAAAAAAGTTTTAAACTGCAGTCAGGATTATAGACTCAGAAGTATAAAGTAAAAAGCAAGTCAAGAAAAATAAGGATCAGAAGTATTGTGTGAGGGCAGAAGTCAGGTTAAGTGGCTTATGTCAGCTGCTGAATGAAAAAGAACAACATTGCAAAGCATGCTTATGAAATGCCCCAGTGGGGTTGATAGCCCATGGTTGGCCATAGCAGAGACACATGAAAAGGACAAGTGAAAGAGTGCAAAGGATGATGGGGAAGACTTCAGAAGAATTTACCATTGTAAATGGCACAACTTTTAGTTCAGTTAAAACTAGAGCCACGTTATAGTAATATTTAAAAAAATCTATTTTTAAAAATATATTTATTGATTTCAGAGAGGAAGAGGGAAGAGAGAGAGGGAGAGAGAGAGAGAGAAAGAGAGAGAGAGAGAGAGAAACATCAATGATGATAGAGAATCACTGACTGGCTGCCTCCTGCACATCCCACACTGGGGATCAAGTCCACAACCTGGGCATGTGCCCTGACTGGGAATCGAACCAAGACCTCTTGATTCATCGACGCTCAACCACTGAGCCATGCCAGCTGGGCTATTTTTAAAATGTATCTGAGTTCTTCAAAAAGAAGGTCTATAGGCAAAGAATTCAAATCTAATATCCTGTATTTCTGTTTGGCTACAAATGGACAACTTCACAAAATATTATGTATAAATAAATAATATAATCAATAGTGCTTGATTAGATACTTGTATACATATTTTTCAAGGGGTAAATAACACAACAGACATATTAAAGGCCATACAACCGGACTGTTTTGAAGTTCAACCCTTTGAGAAATGCTGGTAGAAATAGGCAGTCCTAGTTCAAAGGAATAAATATGTATTGGTATTTTAAAGTAACATTTTAACTGAAAAAAACAAAACAAAACAAAACAGCAGAACAGTTGTTTTAAAAACACGACTGGGCACAATGATAGAGGTGGATTGGTAACAAAAATCCAATCAAACAAACAAAATAAACACTTTAGACCTTTTCTGAAAGAGCATAGGATAGCAGTATTTTGCATATAAATAACATTTTGGATTCCCACTTTAGCTTCTCCAAACAGAATTGAGGATATTGCAGCCTTGTGCCTTAGAAGAAATCTACAATTTAGAAAAAAACTGTAGGCTATTTATCTGGGAAAAATTATCCAGATAATAAAATGAGGAAAGTCAACTTTTCTTATGACTAACTGTATGGCTACCAACCCTGGTACATGACTTTGCTTAGGTTACTCTATATGAAGTATGTGCAAGCTCTTGTAAAAAAAAAATAATGCTAATCTTGATTTTTATGATTTTTGTGTAAATTTGCAAACTTTATCGCTCATAAGATTAGTTAATACAATACAAATACATTTTTCACTTGGCTGATTTCTAGGCAAGCAGACCTGCAGTCTATCTGTGTTGCCTTCTCCTACTTCCTTTCTTATAGCCTCCCTGACCCCCAGCAGCCAGTCCAGATTCTTTGTTCTGCTTCCTGGTGGCTCAGGACTCCACCACAGTGTCCTTCCTTCTAGGCTTGCTCTCTAGAGCACAGCCCTAGGCACCAGACCAGTAGGTCTGGAAATTTATTTACTTTTCAATTACAGTTGACATTCAATATTATTTTAGTTTCAGGTGTTCAGCATAGTAGTTAGACATTTATATAACTTACGAAGTGATCTGCAAACTTTTTTGACTCAGCGTCCTATCAGAAATAATTTTGAGCATACTCCCAATATTTTTATAAATTACACCAGTGGCCTGGTGCATGAAATTCATGCACATTAAAAGGGAATTAATTAGAGGAAATATTTTAATATTGCTATTTGCCCTTTCTCTATAATAGAAGTGTCAGAGGTGAAAGAAAATTAGTAAAATGTATATGAAAATCTTCCTCCTGTCAGAGTCTGGGGCATGCTGTGGGACCCAGAGTCAAGTCCCCGTCCACCTACGTGTGCCTCAAAATTGCGTGAGACCCAGACCTGGCCGGTCCCACCCCCATTGGGTGAGATCCAGACCCGGCTGACCCCACCCCTGACAAGCCTCGCCGGGCTGAGAGCGCAGCCTCAGGTCCCCCGGCCTGGTGCTGGGCATGGGGCACAGCCTCATGTCCCCTGTCAAGCCCTGCCGGGTGAGGGGTGCAGCCTCAGGTCTCCCATCAAGCCCTGCTGGGCTTGGGGGCACAGCCTCAGGTTCCCCGGCCTGGTGCTGGGCGTGGGGGCGTACCCTCAGGTCCCCTGGGTCCCCGGCGCCAGGGTGGGGGGCGCTGCCTGAGGTTCCCCGTCAATATTTATTTATAATATACTAGAGGCCCGGTGCGCGGATTTGTGCACGGGTGGGGTCCCTTGTGCACTGGTGGGATCATTGGCCTGCAGGG